GGCCTAAGCAGCAGACAGATAAAATACAGGCCAATCAGATGACCACAGACTCCACCCTGGGGGCAGGCCTGGGCTGGCGGCCTCTGTCCCCCAATGACAGGCTTAGGGCACTGACAGCAGGATTCAGCATGAATACACCCCTCCACCCTGGCTGTGGTGAGCACAAAGCCACAAAGGTGTCTAGAGATGCAGCCACTTTAAATACACAGGTGAAGCGAGATTGAGCACATCAGAGGGGCAACCTCCTCCCTCAGGGAACAAAGTTGACATCAAGATGGTCATCTGCCCACTGGAGCTGTAGAGTCACTGGGTCAGGGGATGGTGGGGCTGTACTTAGCCTTACAGGAGAGGAGTTCACCAGCACAAGAAAGATCACGAGGGCCAGAAAATTATTTTTTTGTCAGAGTGTTACTCTGTCACCCTGGGTAGAGTGCCATGGTATAGTTCACAGCAACCTCAAACTCTTAGGCTTAAGCAATCCTCTTACCTCAATCTCCCAAGTAGCTGGGACAACAGGAACCTATCACAATTCCCAGACAGTTTTTCTGTCTTCAGTAAAGATAAGGTCTTGCTCTTTTCTCAGGCTGCTCTCCAACTCCTGACCTCAGACAATCTACCCTCCTGGGCCTCCCAGAGTGCTAGGATTACAGGGGTGAGCCACTGCACCCGGCCCAGAAAATTCTTTATGCTCTCTGTGCCTTGGTTTCCTCACCTGTAAAAATGAGGCTAAAAACCTAAGAAATGGTGTACAAGAGAAGATCAAGTCCCTCTCTTCTGGTTTATTTACACACGGGCCCCCACCTCAGGGCCTTGACCTGACCTCAGACCAAGGCCAGGGGCTAGGTGTTCTCCTCAGCCCAGAGATCACTGCTAGGGCCCTGCTCACTCTGGCCCCAAGGCCAGACACTGCCTCTGACTCACTTGGGAAGGAATAAATGGAGCCTGTGCCTTGTACTGACCAGGCCAGGCCCAGTGCCGTGTGCTGCTCTCAGGCAATGACGCCTACAGCCTCCTGGGGCACAGGAAAAGCCAGGAGAGACTTCTGAGCTCCATAGGCCCTGCCAGTGAGAGCAGGGAGCAGTATACACCGGCCCCTGTCCTCTGAGGCCTTCCAGAAACAGAGCTAGCAGGAGGGCTGCATGTTAGGGATCACTCACCATCTGCCCCACGCACACACTGGCCGCCTCCATCATGGCCCCGTCCGCAATGGAGCGGGCAGACTCTTTCTCAATGTGGGGATTTCCGGAGAGCAGCTCCTCAACTACCTGGCGAGTACAGCAGAGACAAATGGTGACCTTAGGCCTCCATCAAGGTGGCAATGCAAGGTACAGGAGGTGCCAGGAGCTCGGGGCGGGGCAGAGGAGCATACTTTACATTTCGATATTCTTCCAGGGTGATGCGGCCGTCACTGTCCGAGTCATACATGTGGAACAGAACTGCGGCGGCAGGGGAGAGAAGGGGGGCTCTGTCACGGCCCTGCTCCCCCGCTCTGACATCTACCCCAAACCAAGTGAGAGACACCAACGACCAAACCTCAGTACCAGAGCCAGGGGGTCTGGGGCACAGCTGTGGGGCCATACTGACCACTTCCTAGCGGGTGACCCTGGAAAAGAGACCTGATTTCCCCATCTGTGAAATGGGAGTAACAACTGTGTTTATTCCTGGTCTTGCAAGGGCTGGGAGCTAAAGCAGGTGGAGTTAGGGCCCAGCAGTGGCCAGGAGGCCGGAAGCGTGGATGTAACTCCAGTGAGCACTGTTAGCAGCAAACCTAGTGGGTGCTACTTCAAATGACATTCCAGACAGATCCAGAGGTGCCACCATCTCAGTCTAGCATAAGTGGCTCCTTTGCACTTAGTGACATCCTGCTGGCATCTGGTAGCCAAAAGCAGGATGGGAGGTGACCTTGGGAGCTGGAGCTCTCCCAAGCCCTCTGCTGTGGCATTTGTTGAGTGCTGACCAGACTCCGGGGCATGCAGGGCACCCCATGATCATCTCTTTCTCTGGGAGACCAGGACTGCTGGGCCCCCCTCCCAGATGGGCTGTTGAAGGAGTTAAGGTCTTTTTGCCCATGGTGGCCCCACAAAGAGCCAGGAAAGCAGGGCCTTGGACCTGTATGTGGCCATAGCCCTCAGCAGAGGAGAAGCTGCATTTAGGGCACCACAGCAAGGCCCCCAGTGGCCAGGGCGGGCAGTTCCCATAGCCTCTCGCATGCGTGTCAGAGTAGGGCACCTCATGTACATCCTAATGGGAAAGCCAAGGCTTCCCTGGGTGGGAAAGAGAGGGGCATCAGAGTCACGGGAAAGCCCCCAGACGAAGAAAGAAGTGCCATTCAGGCCACCCCTAGGGATCCTGTGCCATCGGCCAGCTAAGACCACAGCTAAATCCACCCTGGAGCCAGGACACAGTAGAGGCTGGTCCCATGGACAGGACCCCAGTTTAGCCGGCGTGCCAAGAGCTCGGTCTGTGCCACCTCACTGAGTCCTCAGAACCACTCATAACTGGCACACTAGGTCACACAACTGCTCAGTCGGAGGGACCCAGGTCTGTCTGAACCTTGGGCCTTGCTCTTCCACATCCACCCACTGGCCCCTTCTACTCTCGGGAAACCATACACTGCTCAGGCATGTGGCTGATGAGATACACCCACGCCAGTCTCGCTGGGACTTGGCTGGCGTGCCCAACCCCCCCTGCCACTCTTCCCTCCCCCCACAGCTGGGGCCCCTGCATCTTGAGGCTTTGGGGAGCTGCATCCAGGGTCTCAGGGACACGTACATCTCAGCTTCTCCTTCCGGGACAGCTCTACCTGCTCCTCCCCCATGCTGGTGTCGATGGGCCGGAAGTAGGACATGATGGTCAGGAAGTCCTCAAAGTTGATCTCGTCCGCCAGGCCACTGGGACCCTTTCGCAGGTTCCTACAGGAGCAACGAGGGGGGTGTTAGAAATAAATTCTCAACTGCAGCCTGTCTTCTCACCGCCAGCAGCTCCCAAGAGGTCAGCCCTCCTGGGACCTTGCTTCACCCACAGTGGCTGCTATCACCCGGAGAACTTGCTCTATGGGGGCACTGAAGGCCCTGGAGCTTTAAGCCCAGCCCCTGCTCTGCCCTCACGGAGCTCACCGACCAGGGGGCTCCTCCCAAAGCCTTAGGAGGAGACAGACAATTGCAGGACTGTCAGTTCAGACTGTAAGAGAGGGATGCGTGGGTGTGTTAAAGTGCACACAGGTAAGCACCCCATATGGGGAAACTGAGGCACCAAGCAATCCAGTAGCTCACCCAAAGTACATCTCTTGATCCTTTACTTTAGCTTAGGGGTTGACAACTACAGCTCATGGGCCAAATCTGACCTGTTGCCTAATTTTTTTTGTTTGTTTTTATTTTTTGCAGTTTGGGGCCGGGGCTGGGTTTGAACCCGCCACCTCCAGCATATGGGACCATAGCCCTACCCTTTTGAACCGCAGGCGCTGCCCCGTGTTGCCTATTTTTTAAATGGCTGAAAAATGTTTGCCCCTTCTCCCACAAAAATCAAAAGAATAAAAGCATTTCATGACAAGTGAACATTACATGAAGTTCAAATTTCAGTGTCCAATAAAAATAAAATTTTATTGGAACACAGCTGCACATTCACTTAGTCATTGCCTTTGGCTGCTTCTGTGCTGCAGCCGTAGAGTCTGGTAGATGCAGCAGAGACCACAAGACCCACAAAACCTACAGAGTTTGTCAGCCCTGCTCTCTCTTAGTAGTTCAAAATGTCAGAACTGTGATCAGCTGTAAGTAGCTCAGAGTATTCTGTTTATTACCCAAGTGCAAAGTTTGTGAATAACTGAACATTTTGTAATAAATTGGAGCAGATTTGAGGTTGTCTCTACCAAATGTGCTTTGCAGAGGTCACAAGAAAGGTTTCACGTTTCAGGTGGAGCCCAGGCAGCAGATGCTGCACTGGGTCTGCCCCATGCCTGACACAGGGCCTAGCACGAGTAGGTGCTCAGAGCATGTCTGGGTGTGCTAACAAGCTCAGCTACTGCAGAGAAATGCAGCTGCTAAGCAACCAACTTGGAGGTGACTTCAAGTACTAGCTCTTGACTCACTGTCACCAAACTCAGATCACTAACCAACTTCTACTGGGGTGGCAGGCTGAGGATTCCAAAGTCCCTCATTGTGGGCCTCTGAAAAGAGGCCATTCTCAGCTGGCTGGGGATGACTAAAGTGAATGGCTGGTGCTTGGATATTTAACTTGGGTCCCGCTAGGGACACAACTGTACCCCAGTGCAAAGGAGTATGCTTGCAATTCTCTTTAGCGATCCATCCATTCCCTTTCAGCGCCCAAGAAATGCCATTGGCAGTGTCTACTGCATTTCACAGTTTATAGATTTTTTTTTCTCTTCCAGGAGATTTTCCAGAAAGACGTAGATCACAAGCTTGGACTAGGGAAGGTGGATCATGAAACCACCCATTTGCAGGATGACACAAGATCCTTCCCCAGCCTGGCGAGGGGACACCCACCCCTACTCCCTCCACAGTCTCACGCCACAAGTGTCCATCCTGGTCAGCTGAGTCTCTAGACTTAAAATAACCCGAGACACCTGGGGGCATGAGCTCCGGTCTGCGCCTCAGTTCCAGGATGCTAACCAAGGGGTGCCACCTCTTTGTAAACCACAGTGATGAATAAAACAGCCACCTGGCACTCAACCACGCATCCCATTAATGCCCCCTCCCAGGACCTGGTGAGGCTGGTGTTGTTATCTTCATTTCATAGATGAGAAAACTGGGGTGACCTTCAAGATGGCCCCCAATAATCCCTGCCTTCTGGGGATCACACTCTTGTGTTGCCCCCTCTTCAAGAGTGGAGTGACCTAGTGACTCACTTTTTTTTTAATTGAGGCAGGGTCTTGCCCTGTTACCTAGACTAGAATGCAGTGATGTCATCATAGCTCACAGCAACCTCCTGGGCTCAAGTGACCCTCCTGTCTCAGCCTCCTGATTAGCTGAGATGAAAGGTGAATGCCGCCACACTTGGTTATTTTTTTTCTGTGTTTTTGTACAAACAACAGCTTGTACTTGCTCAGGCTGGTCTCTACCTGCTGACCTTGAAGGATCCTGCCTTGGCCTCCCACAGTGCTAGGATTACAGGTGTGAGCCACTGCACCCAGCCTTAATCACTGACTTGTAATGAAGAGACACGGCAAAAGGGACAAGGTATCAGTTCCAAGAGTTCAGCTACAAAAAGATGGTAGCTTTCACCTTGGCTCTCTCTCCCTGCAGGTTTTGTCTGAACATCTCGCTCTGAGGATGCCAGCTGCCATGCTGTGGGCAACTCTGTGGAGAGGTCTCAAAGATGCCCACAGCCACAAGAGTAAACTTAGAAGCACAGCCTCCCCTGGTCGAGCCTTGAGGTGAGATCTCAGCCCCAGCTGACACCTTGCCTGAAGTTTGCCAGAGACCCTGAGCCTGAAACCCCTCCACTCCCAGCTAATTTACACCTGGATCCCTAACTCACAGAAGTGGTAGGATAATAAATGTTTATTATTTTAAACCACTAAGTTTTGGGGTAGTTTGCCACATAGCCAAGATAACTACCTTAGCCTAGAGAGCTCAAGCGAGCTGCCCAAAGTCACCCAGCTATCAATCCAGAATTGTCTGGCCCCAAACCCCATAAGCCCTACCCAGCACAGCCCTCTCTAAGCCTGTGAGTACTGGGAGAAGTTATGCAGAGTAGGACAAAGGCACCTGCCATCCAGCTGCTTCAGGAAAAAGAACCCACCTGTTGTCAAAGAAGGCACGAACAATTTTGGATCGGATTGGGTTGAGTTCCAGATCAGGGACATTGTTGAAGTTTTCCTTGCTGGTTTCCAAGAAGGAGAAACACCAGGAAAAGAATGAGAAAAGAGATCAGATGTCAGCGGCATTTTTATCATGTAGCAAGCTGCATTTTCAGTCCTTAACAGGACTAAGAGAATCCAGAACTGGAATATGCCTGATTGGGCTGTCCCTGCCCTAACCTTCAGACCAGGTGATAGCAGGGAAGATCTGGAGGTTCAAGATACTTTAGAGAATCCAAGAGATATACTGGACATTCACTTTTAGAAAAATGTTGAAACATGGGATGTGTACACCATTCTGGGGTCAAAGCCTACCTGAGGCCCCCAGGTCAAAGCCCAGCGGCAAAAACTCTGCTTTGGTAGCTCTGATGCTGGCTTAGGGTGCTGGGATACAGTCTGGCGATCCTCAAAAGGCCAAATGTCACGTTAATACATGACCTAGCAATTCCGCTCATACAAAATCCCACACACAGGTTTCACAGTGGTATAGTCATACTAGTCATAATGTAGAAACAATTCAAATGTCTGTTAACCAACTACTGGACAAATAAAATGTGGTGCATCCATACAATGGAACATCTTTAGTCGCAGAATGAAATCCTGATGGATGCTGCAACGCAGACAAACCCTGACAACCCTATGCTGAATGAAAGAAGCCAGATACAAAAGGTCACATGTAATAAGATTCCATTTATACAAAAAAGGTAAATTCTCAGGGATGGAAAGTAGAGGCGTGGCTGTCAGAGGCTGGGTAGAGTGGAGAGGAGGGACATGGGTAGTCCTGGCTGAGGGTATGGGTTTCTTTCTGGGGTGATGAAAATGTCCTAGAATTGGCTGGGCACCCGTAGTTCAGTGGTTAGGGCGCCAGCCACATGCTCCAGGGCTGGTGGGTTCAAACCCAGCCCAGGACTGCTAAACAAAAAAATTAGCCAGGTGGTGTGGCAGGTGCCAGCTCCTAGGGAGGCTGAGGCAAGAGAATCGCCTAAGCCCAAGAGTTGGAGGTTGCTGTGAGCTATGACATCACAGCACTCTAACGAGGGTGACAAAGTGAAATTCTGTCTCAAAAAAAGAGAAAATGTCCTAGAATTATCATGGGTGCTAGATGTACATCTCTGTAAAATATACCAAATGGCACTAAATTATACATTTTATTTTATTTTTTTAGAGACAGAGTCTCACTTTGTCACCTTTGGTAGAGTGCCATCGCATCACAGCTCACAGCAACCTCCAGCCTCTTAGGCTTAGGCAATTCTCTTGCCTCAGCCTCCCAAGTAGCTGGGACTACAGGCGCCTGCCACAACACCTGGCTATTTTGTTGTTGTTGTTGTTGCAGTTTGGTTGGTGCCAGGTTCCAGCAGGCCACCCTCGGTATATGGGGCCAGCACCCTACTCACTAAGCCACAGGCACCACTCTAAATTGTACATTTTAATGTGTCTGCTTGCTGTATGGTATGTGAATTTCAGTAAAGCTGTTAAACAAAGAAAAAAAAAGCTTCTTTGTTTTCTGGCTTGGGGCAGGGGAGAGTGAATTTCAGATGAGGACACCTGCAGCTGGCACAGGAGTTGCCTGGTCCCTTGGCCATGGTGAGCAGGTGGGGAAGTTGCCGTCCTTCACCCACCTGCCCTTCTCCCTGCCCTGCCCTGCCCTGCCCCAGAAGGCCAGCCTGTGTTCTCAGAATCTGCTCATGATTTACTTCTGCTCCATGAACCTGTATGGCCAGTGGCCTTGGAAAGGTCCCAGGATATAGGCTGGTAATCCTGGGGACAAGGAGGCATGGCCATGGACAGAGAGTGTGAGGACGTCACCTACCAGGAATGAAACTGTCCAGGGTGGGACACAACAGGTGGGACACTCAGAACCAGACCAGAGCAGCACTAGGAGGGGAGGGACAGCCAGGTGCATAGAAGACTCAACACTGTTTAAGTTGGAAGGTTCCATAAACACCCTGCTGGCCTCTGTCCTGTCGCCACCGTACAGATGAGCAGGCTGAGGCCCAACAGGCATAAGCAGCACCTACCTGCCCCTGGCCCTAGGGCCTTCTGTATTCACCCTGTTCTCCTAGGTTCCCACGGGTGGCCTCCTGCCCCTCCCACCCAGGGGCCCAGCATGCCAATGCTTTGGATTCATAAGAGCCCAGCTCCGAAGAAGGGGGCACACTCAGGACAGCTGGCCTGGACCAGTGGGTGTTTTTTGGTTGTAAAAAAAAAAGACAATACATTTTTGACTATACAAAGGAGTAAAGTTCTGATCTGTGCCACGATACAGATAAATCTTGAAAACATATTGAGGCTGAGTGTGGTGGCTCAGGCCTGTAATCCTAGCACTCTGAGAGGCTGAGGTGGGTGGATGCCTGAGCTCAGGAGTACCAGACCAGCCTGAGCAACAATGAGACCCCACCTCTGCTAAATAAAAAACGGAGGCAAGAGGATCTCTTAGAGCCCAAGTTTGAGGTTGCTGTGAGATATGGTACCATAGCACTCTACCAAGGTGACAAACTGAGACACTGTCTCAAAAAAAGAAAAGAAAAGAAAATATCGAGTGAAAAAAGCTGCCGCACAAGGCCACATGGCGTGCAATGCCATGCAAATGTAATATCCAGAAAGGGCAAGCCCATAGAAATGGACTCATGGTTTCCAGGGTCTGGGGACACAGGTGATGGCTAGCGGGCATGGGGTTTCTTTTGAAGTGTTCTAAAATGGACCACACGCTTTAAATGGGTGAATTGGATACTATGTGAATCACATTTCCAAAAAGCTGTTAAAAATTTCTAATAAATCTGTTAAGAAAAAATAAAAACCAGAAAAAGATGGCTGCACTGTGACTCCATTTACACAAAGAGCAAAAAGAGCCCACAGGAAACTATGCAGCTAGAAGTCAGGGGACAGTTAACCACGCTTGGGGGTAGGGAGGGATGGCCAGGAAGAAAGTCCCTCCCTGTGTGACATGCACTGCTCTCTGCAGCACCTCACCCACGCTGCTGCGCACGAGGCTGGTGGCCGCTGTCTTCCCCTTTCTCCTCATTAGCAACCATGGGAGGGGACAGAGCAGAGACATCAGAGTCCTGAACGAGGCAAGGTTACCGGGGAGATGATCCAATTCTATGGAATCACCATCGGATGACAGTAACAGTGCGAATGACGTGGCCTGTGCAATCTTGTTTCCCAGGGGACACCCAATGAGGGCCCCTCTTGTCCCTGACACAGCAGGCTCAGCAGAGAGAGGTTTAATGACCTGCCCAGGCTCATCCAGCAGGGGCAAGGGGGAGCCAGACAGCCAGGCAGAGTGCAGCCACACTCTTGGGCCCGACACCCTGCTGCCCTGCTCATCTCAGCCAAACTGGATCTGTCTTCCAAAGCCCAGATCCCTAGCTGAGAACTGGGTAGCACGGAATTTGAGAAGGAATTCGGGGAACACAGAAAAGCAGCCGCTGCTGCTGTGTGGGAACCCCCAAGCCCTCTCTGGCTTGCAGTGGCCAAGGGGACAGTCTTGTCCACTGCTAACCCTTCCTCAGCCTCAGTTTTCCCATCCGTGAGGTGGGCACAGCCTCCGCACTCAGACTTGGGTTCTGCCCTGCTCTGCCACCTGAGACAAGTGACTTTGCCCCTCTGAGCCACAATCTGCTTCCCTGGAAACAGCAACCTCACAGAGTTGTTGTACAGTTTAGAGATAAAGAGAAAGTGGCTGAGGTCAGAGCTTCACTCCCTGGTCTAGTCCTCCCTGTGCCCGAGCCGGTACCATTCCCAGGGGCACAGTGTACAGACCCTGTGGCTTGGGCTGACCCAAAAGGACAGCAGACAGCAACATCCCAGGAGGAAGAAACCACCTCGAGAAGCCTGACTCGTGCAACTGGACAACAAATTAATCCAACACCAGAGGCCTGACCTCCCACCATCAGCAGCAAGGCAGGTGCCCAACACATTGGGAACCCAGTGCTCCAGGTGCCGGCCCCATGACTCCAGCAGGAGCATGCAGATGTCTTGGGAGCCCAGCTGCCTCTGCCCTGTCTCCCTAAGTACCTCCTGGACCTGCACGCAAACCTCCCTCTCCCTCGCCATGGGCACTTGACTCTTAGAGCCTCAGTTTCTTCATCCATGAGAGGGGTGCAGACCTGACATGTCCCCTGTCAGAGGATGTGTGGCAGTCTCACACCCAGCACATCTCAGAGCCTCCGATTCCCCATCTGCAAAATGGGGAACATGGGAATGTCCTGATAGCATCACGGGCTTAGCAAGATAACTGATGAACTCCCTGGCATATGGCTAGACACACAGAAGGCTCGGAATTTAATATGACGGTAACAGAAGCAGCAGCAGTATTAGCAGTGGTGGTAACAGCAGTGAGCCTTCTCTGCCACGCACATTCCTAAGAGCTTTCCATTGTTGTTGAGGACTCACAACCACCCCTCAGTAGGAAACTGAGGTGGAGAGGCAAAGCCGCTCTCACTGCTAAGAATGACCCTGACTCGGGGCAGCGTGGACACCCCCAGACTGGAGCAGCTGCTCGTGAGCGTGAGGTCTGGTTGTGTGGTCCTCAGGGACACTCCCTGAAGCCTGCTGACCTCCCTTTTCCGCCAGCGTGGGAAACACCAAACGCTGAGCGGGGAGTGTAGGCAGGGGCTGGGGCGAGGTGGGGAGCAGGCAGCCCTGGGGGCCAGCAGAAAGCGGGGAGTGGGATGTCCGCATTGAGAATCTGGGAACCTGCTGTGGTTTAGACTTGGGGTTCAGTAAGCCTGCAGTGTTGGAGGGATCCCACACTCAACACCCCCAAATAGAACTCTGAAGTGGAGCTGGGGCTCAAAAGCTGTCAGAAACCAACCCATATCACAAGGGCTGAGGAAGAGCCCAGCCTGGCCTTCCGCCGGTGGTTCTTTTTTTAGTCTTGTCCCTCCCTGCGAGCCAGACACTTGCCCTGCCCTCTTCCTGGGTCCCAGATGGGGTTCTGGGCTGGGGGCTGTGTGGGAACAGATGCTCAGGCTGATATGCAGTGGTGTCATCATAGGTCACTGCAGCCTCAAACTCCTGG